CACGTTCCAGGAGCATGTGTTAAACCAAAGTCTGCAACCAGTTTGCGCCTCCCTTAGCATTGCGAGTCGTGTGCTTGAAGTCATAAAGCTTCGCTAATTTTGATAGTTTGCCCATTTTTCAAACTCAGCATGTGCTGTGGGTAAGTGCACAGTAACGGAAACTACTGCCTCTTTCCATCGATACTGAATACATTCATTAGTGAGTTGTCTGATTTTTTACAGCTTACACAGTAAGTCATAAATTATGGTGCATTAGCTTCAGGCTGATTGAATAATATAAGCTAGAGCTGGTGCATTATTTTTGATTGATGCAGCGAGCATCTGACGACGGCCTGCATCGCTTGACCTTCTGACCTTTATCTGGGAACTGCTTTTGACAGGTTGTCAAACGTGCCTTTGAGCCGACTGAACGAGCGATAATCCCGTGATCGATCTCTCTTATAGATTTTATGTTGTGATAATCCTATTACCAACAGCGAGGGGTCTTTTGGCAATACACTGGCATCCATTATTTGTTTACAACTACGATTTCAAAAACTTGAAGGTCAGACGAGGCCAAAATTGACGTAGACGACATCAAGAAAAAAACACGCAAACAGTTTTCAGTTTTTTTTTTTTTTGCATTTTATTGTCTCCTGTTATCTGCCCAGCATATGTGTAGGTGTATATGTCTCCTGTTATATATCTCCTGTTTTTTTTTTTTTGCATTTAATTGTCTCCTGTTATCTACCCAGCATTTCAGGTTCCAATTGCAATTGGCCCTTGTCGACCTTTGTGTGAACGAGTGCAGATGAAATGCGAACCGCTGCTTAAGGAATTTGGCTTCCCATGGCCAGTTTCAATGAACTGTTCGAAATTTCCACTTGGTTAGCATCGCTTCGTTTTCCCAGTTGATTCAGGACAAGTTATTTAATGCACAGCCTAGAGTGTTTAATAGAATGCTGCCATTTCTCGGCTTTATTTTTATTGGTTTAGTTTTTTTTTTGTTCGAACCCGGTGTATCTCAACTTAGTCCACTGTCCTTCATTTGCGTTTCCGCATGCCCCAGCTTCTTTCGCGCTTTACTTTTCCTTCCGATATTCTCTAGTCATTCAGACTTTCATGTGTTAGTCCAAGATTCTCTCCCTCTTTCTTCCCACTTACCCTCTTCCAGTGCCTGACATTTTTGGATAAGAACAATAACGTGTGATAAATTAGAAATCCAACTAACTGGGTAACTGTACCACTATCTTCGTAAAAGCATTATCCTCTTCCACTTTTTTGCTTAATGCGTGAAATTTGCTTGTTCGTGGAGGGTCTCGAATACTGAAATTCAGTAAGCTTACTACAGAAAATAATAACGATGCGATGTGTATGAAGGGCCCGGCA